CCTCTCGCAGTGTCAAATAAACACTGATAAGGAGAAATAACCAGTAATAACGAACGAAAAACACCGGGAGAAATTTTAACAGTATTTAATTATACATTAGAACAACATAGAAAATATTTCTGTCTGTAAAGATATGTGCGGTGTATACGATATGAAAGTCAAAAGAAAGAGTTATCATTTGTCTTCTGCAATATAATATTCCTCTTTCACTTACGAAGATTCGGCGCCATGTTGATGGTCGCTTCCTCCAATTCGATAATTGGATGAATCACACATGCTCTTGTCTTTGGTTATTAACACGTTGTGTAATTCACCATTGCATTTGGTCTATCACTATTTGGCTTATCAAATATATGTCCATATGCGTCATATTGTGTGTGACTTAGGATAAGACTTCTGTCTCTTCATTATGCAATTCACTTTATGTGACAATAACAAAAGAAATGTTTCTCTTTGGAGTTTACAGGTTCAAATACGATCGGAGAAACACATATTTTCCACGAAATTTCACGAACATTCAAGCCAGTAAATCTAATTAATACTGTTTATTTAAAAAATTAATTAAATAGATTGTACCTATTAAAATAAGATATAAACAGAAAATATATTAAATAATTGTCGGAATTAATCGATTACATGATAAATATATATATATATATATATATATTTATATCATTTAATCGATTAATATATATATATATATATATATATATATATTATATATAATTATTTATTTAAAAATATGATTTCAACTCGGGAATTTTTAAATAAATAATTATATTTATGCTCTACTTTTGTATCGAGCACTATTTTTAAAAAATAATAACTAAAATCCTAAGGAACTTTGGATTATTTACCTAACCAGTTCCTTCCTATTTTATATATATATATATATATATATATATATAAAGCGAACAGGTTATAGTAGTTCCAACGGCAGAAATGTGTGTACATTAAAAAGAAGAAAGAATCCGAAAATGTTTTTGGTTGTAATATGGATTTTTTTAAAATATATTAGTATGCTTTATTTTCCATAAATTTTGTTACATGTGATGAAGGTCGCGAGACCGAAAACCCGTGTAGCAAAATTAGGGAAAATAAAGCATAATATATTTTTTAAAATCCACTTACAACCAAAACGTTTATGGTTTCTCTCTTCTTTATATATATATATATATATATATATATATATATATATATATATATATATATATATGTGCGTGTGTGTGTGTTGAGAAAATTAATGAAGCAGATTTTATTTGAATTTTTACTCCTGACTGGTCTTCTATTATCACAAAGTCGGTTGCTTAATCATAAAAGCGATAATGACAAAACCAAAACAATAGAGAGATTAAATAAAAATGCCTGTAATTCAAAAATACGCCCTTAAGTATTTATTTTACAAGCGTAGCACAAAGCCGAAATTAAGGGGCACCCATTGAGGATCGAACTCACTACTCAGTCGTAATTGTTTTAGTGAACCAAGCTTGCTAAGCATTACACAGCCTGGAGTTGCCCAAATACGCTCTTAAGTAGGCACCCGGCTGGGGTCGTCAGTGATGTTATTTGACTTGGTTCATCAGGGAGTTTCGGGTCTTTCAACATCATACTCCCCATCACTAAATCGACCCAATCAGGGGAGATTAATCCCTGGTCCCTCCCCTTTTTGTCAAACGCTAACAGCTACTCTGGCCTTTTAATGAATTAGACGAAGAAATATACACTAACACATCTATAAAATATCAAGTTAAAATTTTGAATTTTGGCCTCCTAACCTATTCATCTTTGTATAATTATAACCAAACGTTTGTGTTTTTAACTTCCCCTTACCTTTCTTATGAATACCTCAAGAGAAAGATTAATTTACTCTGATGAATTCATAAAGGACGAAACGCGTAATACATTTTTCTAATTTATCATTAATTTTATTAATATATATATATATATATATATATATATATATATATATATACACACATATATATATATATATATATATATATATATATAGATAGATAGATAGATAGATACTCAAGCCAGTAAATGTAATTAATACTGTTTATTTTAAAATTTAATTAAACAAACTGTATCTATAAAAATAAGATATAAACAGAAAATATATTAAATAATTGTCGCACTTAATCCATTATATTATATATAGGATTGTTGTATACAGAATAAATTCCAATAACCAAAAGTACTATTTTTAAAAGAGTACTCAATACAGAATAAAGCAAATATAGTTTATTCGAAAATGATTACATAAACAGGCAATAAAATCACTACAAAAATAGCCATTTTATTTCAACACATCTGGTTTCTTATCAAGTGATGGTGTTGAATGTAGAATAAAAAGTCTTAAAAGGTTCAAATCGACCAAACACACTTGATATGATACCAGAAGTGTTAAAACAAAATAGCTATTTTTATAGTGATTTCATAACATGTTTATGTTATAATTTTCGTCACCAAGTTGGTACAGTTGGTATGAAACGATATGGGTTCGAATCTCGGTAGAGGATGAGCTTAAAATAGGACGAAACGGCCGTCCAGCGGATTCTGCTGAGAATTTTTCTAGACACGATGTTTTACTCTAATGGTGTGTGTGTGTGTGTGTGTGTGTGTGTGTGTGTGTGTGTGTGTGTGTGTGTGTGTGTGTGTGTGTGTGTGTGTGTGTGTGTATATATATATATATATATATTCTCTCAACATGTTTTAATTGAAACACGTTTCATTGGATATTTTAGACAAGTTTTGTCTACTTATTTTCAATTGGATCTTTTATATTCATGGACAAGCTTTTTGGTGTCATTATTAAAGAAAAAGAGAAAATTGCCGTGTTGATACATATTCCGATTTTATTTCGATTACAAACAACAAAATGGTAATTTTATGTATCAACACGGTAATTTTCTTTATATTCTTGTAATATTCTTTGCTAATTTTCTTTATAATAACGGTAATGTTACCGTATATCTTTGAGCATTCCGATACGATAAAAATTTTGAAAAACGAATAACATTTCTTCACTTGTATAGAAATACTTGCCACAAAACAATATTCTTACATTTGACATGAGAAACGCTCTCAGAGGGAGAAAAGTGTCATCTAAGATAGGTTTTCCTTTTGTCTTTATTCGTATTATCCTTTTACAGATATACGCGATTTGAAATTTATATATATATATATATATATATATATATATATATATATATATATATATATATATATAAAATGCATTAAAATATTTGATGCCGTTATAGATATATATTCGCTTCCTTTTGTAAAAATTTGCAAAATTGATAAAATTTTCGAAATCGAAGGAATTTAACCTAAAAAAACTTCTTTTTTTTTTTTGCTTTTGGAACATTTTAATGAAAAATAATTATCAGCGTTCTTTTCTAAAATATGTATATAAACGTTTTCTTGACATCAAACGGCGTCTTCAAACACGTATTTATTTCCAGAATCGTACATTTAAACGACGATATTTTTGCTCGAAGAAAGTATTTCAGAAAATCGAAACGATTAAACAAAACATTCACTTATGTCTGTTTTGAAAAGGCAAAAAGTTGAGAGAATTATGGCTGTTAAAACTTTTGGCGTAATCACACATTAAATGTTGGCCGCCCATTGACGTCTAGTGCCGCATACTCGCAGGCTTATATAAAGAAATATCTATATATCCTTCCAACGAGAGGAATGTAAAGCGATAAACATATATATATATAAATACTTCCTAAATAAATTGATATAACTAGACAGCGAGTAAGAGAGATAGATATATATATGTATGATTGTATTTTTTTATTGAATTCGTGTCCATTCAAATTGAATACAGGGAACTTGTGCATTTAGTTGGCTGAAGAAAGCCAAACGATACTCAACAGATTTTGAATCCAGAGGTGACATTCTCTTAGACTGGATTCCAAATAAGTCTGAAGAAAATACTCTGCTTTACTATTTATCCAATAGAGCAAATGCATTCATACCTTTGTCAAGAGTAATTGTACATAAATAAATGTAAGCGACACGTCTGTAATTCGAACTCGGCTCTCCAAATTGACATTCTGAGTCAATTAAACAAGTTAAGTCTTAAATATTTTTATTGTTTACTTTTCTACATTTGGACCTGTTTTCTAGTGGTTGCTTTATGGCATGTTTTTAGCTAATATAACAAGATGGCTTCCAAACTAATTTTACCTAATTTAACCAGATGGTTCACATGGCGTCCAACGTTTCTAGCGCGGTAAAGATATTCCAACGGAGATATTTTCTGCACAACACAGTAGAGGAGGTTCCGTTCTGATCTGGGGTTCTATCTCTATCCATTGAACAATGGAGCTTCAGGTTATAACAGAGGCGTCATGCCGCTGCTGGTTACATTGCCATATGGGAAAGAGCATATTTATTAACTGGAGACCCTCACCTATGTAGAAATGACTCGATCTTCTAACAGGACAACGGCGCAATCCATAATGCCCGCAGGACAAAGAACCTTTTATTGATAATAAAGTGATTCTTTTGGGCCATCCAGCACGTTCAGCGTACCTGAACGATGTTCGAAATATGTGGAAGTGAATGGCGAGAGAAGTCTATAAAAATGGACGTCAATTAAACACTTATATTGACCATGCCGAAGAGAAATTTTGAAGTTATTCACAATGACAGTCGGCCGGGTAACTCACTACTGAGCATTTCTTGTTGAACATTTCGTTCTCTCTTTAGGATTTCCTTATGTAGGGTTTTAGACTATTTAATTGGTAATATCTACCCCAATTTCCACGTATACTAATTTTCCCTATTATATGCTAATGAACGTATTCATTTTTCCTTTTCTTCTTTTCATTTATTGAAGCCTACACAAATAAATGGTTGGGGCTGACAACGCAAAAGATATACTTGTGAACATAAGATCATAACCAGCTATCGTTTTGTCTGTCTGTCTATCTATCTGTGTGTGTGGGGGAAAATGATGTATACTTTTTATGTATCGATAGTGTTTTAAACATCTATCTTTATTACTTTCTATCTATCTATCTATCTATCTATCTATCTATCTATCTGTGTGTATGTTTGTTTGTGTATCGAAAACATTTTAACCATCTTTCTATCTATCTATCTATCTATCTATCTATCTATCTATCTATCTATCTATCTGTGTGTATGTGTTTGTTTGTGTATCGAGAACATTTTAACCATCTTTCTGTCTATCTATCTATCTATCTATCTATCTGTGTGTATGTGTTTGTTGGTGTATCGAGAACATTTTAACCATCTTTCTGTCTATCTATCTATCTATCTGTGTGTATGTGTTTGTTTGTGTATCGAGAACATTTTAACCATCTTTCTTTCTATCTATCTATCTATCTATCTGTGTGTATGTGTTTGTTAGTGTATCGAGAACATTTAACCATCTTTCTGTCTGTCTATCTATCTATCTATCTATCTATCTATCTATCTATCTATCTATCTATCTATCTGTGTGTATGTGTTTGTTTGTGTATCGAGAACATTTTAACCATCTTTCTGTCTGTCTGTCTATCTATCTATCTATCTATCTATCTATCTGTGTGTATGTGTTTTTTGTGTATCGAGAACATTTTAACCATCTTTCTGTCTGTCTGTCTATCTATCTATCTATCTATCTGTGTGTATGTGTTTGTTTGTGTATCGAGAACATTTTAACCATCTTTCTGTCTATCTATCTATCTATCTATCTGTGTGTATGTGTTTGTTTGTGTATCGAGAACATTTTAATCATCTTTCTGTCTGTCTATCTATCTATCTATCTATCTGTGTGTATGTGTTTGTTTGTGTATCGAGAACATTTTAACCATCTTTCTGTCTATCTATCTATCTATCTATCTATCTATCTATCTATCTATCTATCTATCTATCTGTGTGTATGTGTTTTTTGTGTATCGAGAACATTTTAACCATCTTTCTGTCTGTCTATCTATCTATCTATCTATCTATCTATCTATCTCTATATATATATGTATGTGTGTGTGTGAAAATTATGTATGCTTTTTATGTATTGAGAAAACTTTTACCATCTTTCTTTTTTTCTATCTATCTGTCTGTATATGTGTGCGTTAAAATGATGTATACATTTTATGTATCGAGAATATTTTAACCATCTATCTATCTATCTATCTATCTATCGATCGATCTGTGTGTGTGTAAGTGTGTGTGTGAAAATAATGTATACTCTTTATGTATCGAGAACATTTTAACCATCTATCTTTCTTTCTATCTATCTGTGTGTATATGTGTGCGTGTGTAAGCAGTTTTATGTATCGAGAACATTTTAACCATCTTTCTGTCTGTCTGTCTCTCTCTCTCTCTCTCACCATATATATATATGTGTGTGTGTGTGTGTGTGTAAGTGTGTGTGTGAAAATAATGTATACTTTTTTATGTATTGAGAAAATTTTTACCATCTTTCTTTTTTTTTCTATCTATCTGTGTGTATATGTGTGCGTGAAAATAATGTATACATTTTATGTTTCGAGGATATTTTAACCATCTATCTTTCCTTATATCTATCTATCTATCTATCTATCTGTCTATCTATCTATCTGTGTGTATGTGTGTGTGTGTGTGTTCATGTGTGTTTCAAAATGATGTATACTTTTTATGTATGGAGAACATCTTAGGGAAAAACTATGTTTAAGTTGAAAATGTTTTCGTGTGAAACGTTTCGTATTTTAGGACTTAATCGGACTAAAGTAATGTTTACCCTGATGGAACTATACATGTGTACGACGGCTAAGAATTTTAAACTTAAATTTTTTAATATATATTTTTGTTATATAGTCTATTACATTAGAAGACCGGGTGCTACTACTAACCTACGCTGTCCCTTCCCCTGTTAACACACCATGACTATAATCAACCAAATATATAAAACTTAACCAGCTCATCAAAAAACCTAAACTCCTCAACCTTTCTTTTTACAAGATTTGTAAAATCCGTAACAGCTTCTGCAGTGAGGAATCGTTCCTCTTCGAAAAGTCTCCGGACATCTTAGCTCTCTGCGAAATTAATCTTAATTCTTGAATCCCATCCTCTGCTTTCTCGATTCCTTGCTATCTTCTTCTCTTTAGGAAGCACTCTAATGTCCACATGCATGGCTAGAGAACTATCTCTTGAATCTCCTGACCATTCTTATATGTGTCTCCGTCACTGTTTACTAGACAGCTATCTCTTCTTTCTCTACCGTTTCCCTTCATCTCATCACTTTTGCATGCTAGATAGTAATTCTGATAATGTAGACAAGGCCATCTACCTACACCTGTTTGTAAATATATTTGTGTTTGGTGACTTTAATACCAACAAAACCAAGTGTTTTATATATATATATATATATATATATATATATATATATATATATATATATATATATATATATATATATATAACGCTCGTATGAAGAACAACTCAGAATTCAAAAACTGCGGAGGTTAGTTTGAGAGTAGTCTGTGGTATAATGTGCACCAGGTTTTTGTATTGGGCTATTCCAGAAAACTGGGGTTGGTTTGTACAGGCCTTCACCTCTATAATCAAATCATATATAGTCAGGCATTTGGTTGAAGAACCGAGCTGGTTGTAACTCATACGTCAAAAAAACGACAGAAGAGTATATATATATATATATATATATATATATATATATATATATATATATATATATATATATGTATATATATATATATATATATATATATATATATATATATATGTATATATATATATATATATATGAAGAAATATACTCTTAAGATGTGCTACATTTATGTGGAAAATATAAAAGTGAACCTTGAAGTCAACACTTAGAGGCCTGACGATTGCATCTAGCATGAAACAACCTGTCGCCTATAAGTGTTGATTTTAATGTTGACTTATATATATATATATATATATATATATATATATATATATATATATATATGCGTGTGGGGGGGCGTGATGAGGCACGTTGGAGTAATGATTAACAGCTGAGCTTGAGGACACGGAAATCCGAGTTTGAATTCCAGCTTGGGAAAGATATGATCATCATTTTTCACCGCTCTCCGAACAAGTAAAGGAGCATGACAAATTGGGTCGTATATCCTTTAGTGGCAATAAGCATAGGAAAAAGAAATTCTGACTTCAAAACTGTTGCTCCTTTGTAGGTCCTAGAAAAAAATAACAAAATCTACATATATATGATGGACGTGTTAACTCTGAATGTCAACTTAAATGTAACTATGAACCTCAGTTGTGAGATGGAGGGGAGTGGTGACCACAGCAGTGAGTAGTGCGCTAACTGAAAATTATATATATATATATATATATATATATATATATATATATATATATATATATATATATATATATATATATAACTTCCCAAGAGGATAGAATCCAGGTAGAACTCAATGCCCAGGGCAGAGTAAGAATATAACATAATAACATAACAAAAATATATATATATATATATATATATATATATATAAAGAAAGAACAGTAATATATATAATGCGGTGTTCTAATATATATATATATATATATATATATATATATATATATATATATATATATATATATATATATCCAGTGACTGGCGTGTCAGTTTGACTTCATTTTGCCGTGCGTCAAAGGCTTAGGGTAGAATCTCTGACTCTTCCCGGCTTGAGGCAATGGGATGTCTGTAACCACTGTGTCAACCTATGAAACAGCGAATTATTCTGTCTGTGGATGACAAACACCTTCGAGATATCTAGAGCTATAACTCAGACTTCGCTGTTATTATCAAGGGCTTGATATACATATTCAGTGATGGCTGTAAGCACGTCAGCAGTAGATCTGGCAAAATGGAAGCCAGTTTGTTAGAAAGTAGTCCGTGAGAGGTAAGATGCTTAACTACTTCAGCAGTGATTAATGTGTCGAATATTTTGCCAAAAATCGGTTGGAGACTAATAGAGAGGTAGCTACAAGTGTCAGACAGTTCTCCAGAGTTTTGAAAACGGGAACTTTAGAGGAGGACTTCCAAGAAGCTCGAAAGCAGAAGCAGTGAGGCAATAGTTCTAGCGTTTGGAGAGAACTGGAGCCTGCTCGGGATCACATTTTTACGGCTTACCTCCGCTTATGGGACTTTAATTTAAAAATGATATCTGAAACCAGTGAAGGTGTTTCGCCCTTTTCACTGAGTAGAGTCTCTGTCCTTGTGGGAAAATCAGGTGTAGGTACTTCAAATGAGTCGAATGTTGAATTGGAAGCCTATTTTCGAGCAAAGGATTCAGCCTTATCTGCAGTAGATGTCAGGACTTAGACTTGTTTGAATAGAAGAGGGATTGAGGATATGATGTTCTTCAGCACTTAGCCGCCAATAATATGTAGGACTGAACTTGCGAGATGCAATATGTTGTTTTTATTCCGTCAACAAACTGTATCTTCGCTTCTTTGAGGACACGCTTGCACTCATTATATGCAGAGACAAAGAAAGGTCTGTTGCAATCAGATGAGTCGCTCTGGTACAGCTGGTCGAAGTGACTCTTTTGAGCTATAGCGACCGAGCATGCAGGTGAGATGAACACGATTTAACTTGGTATTTCTTGTCTGGAATGAAGGAAACGATGCCGGCTTTCACCTAGGAGGCGTTCACAGCGGGCATTTTTTTGAACAGAATGATTATACCTTCATTCCAAGGGGTGTCACGAAGGAAATCACGGAACCAGTACCAATCCAATCGTTGACATCAGAAAGATATTCTGGTGATAGTAGGTTCCTGGCTGGGGGTGGGGGGAGTGGAAAGAACTGTTTGCAGACACTTCAAGAGGGCAGAGCTGAATAGTATGATATGTGTCAGGGATAGACGTAAAAAAAAAGTGATTTAGAAGAGAAGTGTGTCCATCAAGGCTGACAGGGAAATGTGTGCGGAAGTTCACCACTTGCTTGAGAGATTGAGCAATTGGGAAATTCAGGGTTTGGATGCCAGCTTATTCAGTGACAGTGTAAAAACTTAAAAACCGCCGCCAGTAATAAATTTATTTCGATGAATATAAGTACATTCTGTTTGTCTCAAGGTCCTTGATAAAATCCAAAGACGGATATGCAATGTAATTGGCCCTGATCTGGCATCTCGTCTGCAGTTGCTTCTCCCACAGACGTGCCGTTGCCTTCCTCTGTCTTTTTTTACAAATACTTTCACGGTAACTACTCCGATGAGCTGCTTTCACTGGTTCCCAGACTTCATGAATTTAAGCGTTCAACTAGACTGGCGTCTCGCTCTCACTCTTTCACCATCGAAAGTTTTCAATGTAGCCGTCTCTTCTACTCCAATAGCTTCATGTGTCGCATTTCTCGCAAGTGTAACTCCCTCCCCATTTCTTGTTTCCCTGATAGCTATAATCACCAACTATTAAAATGTAATGTCAATCGACGTCTCCAGATGCCCTGATCTATCCCCTATCATTGTCTACTTCCTTTCATCTATCACTCCTCTTTGCTCTCTCCCCAACTCTCTGTAACCCCTTGCGTGCTAGTGGCCTTCTGCCTTGCTTGGGGTGAAATGCTTAAAAAATATTCATCTCGTCAGACTGACTACATATTTTAAAATGGAATCAAGATCTCCCAGACAGATAGATACACAACAATAAAAAAAATAAAATATAGAAAAATAAAATAAAAATACAAGACGAATCAAAAGCAAAAATAAAATGGCCTAAAAATGTTTTGGGGGGGGGTCTAATATTATGAAGACAGAACAGAAAAACGAGTTAATATGACGGATGACGAAAGGTAAAGAGATAGGATGGTTAAATTTAAAACAGAGTTACAACAATGCATCAAATAAGGTTCACAATAATGTGTCAAATAGAGCATTATAAATAATTTGAGATTTCAATCAATATAATTTCTGTTTGAAATACACCAGAGAATTTTGCTTACTGGAATTAAAACTAAAAATAGAGCCTCAAGAATGATTTTTATTTAAAAAAAAATAAAAACATGTTAAACATTAGGTATCGAAAATTAATGTAGTTATCTATATTTAAGAGACAGTTAGTATGATACATTCGTTATTGTCACTGGTCCCCCAAAATGGAAATTAATTATCTTCGTCCAATATATATCTGGATCAAAAGGATTAAAGGATTTATTCTTAATCCAATATTTTTTCTCCTGGAAAAAAATGTCGCAAATCAGCAGGCTTGTAGACAAGACACACTAAAATCAATCAATTCATATATATATATATATATATATATATATATATGTGTGTGTGTGTGTGTGTGTGTGTGTGTGTGTGTGTGTGTGCGTGCGTGCGTTTATCCTTGTGTCTATGTAAGTAAGCTAATAAATTAGTATTTTTAGGCGATTCTTGATATCCAGAGTTTCCCCTCACCAATTTTCTGTTGGTTGTGGTGGGGAAGTCGTTTTAATGATTAATCAATCATTTTCAGGTTGTTTAAAACCATTAAATACTTTTAGACTGTAAGATTTTTTTTTTAATTTCTTTTAGTGATTATAATGATTTAGCGATACAAGTTTTACTAATTAACCCATATGTAGGGGAGAAAACGTGTATTCATGCTTTTCCCAAAAGAATATAACTAATCTAACGGAAATTGGAACTCGGTTCTCCTATTAACAAATTCCGGGTCATTATTCCTGATATCCCGCGTACATCCAATGCAAACCGCGCCTGACATTTCCAAGCGGTCTTCGTTCTAGATACAGACGACATACGCATTTTCATCGAATTTCGGCAGATCGAGTCGGTTTAATAGTTAGCGAGCTTGTTTCGCTAGAACAATTACGACTGGGTAGTGAGTTCGATCCTCACTCGATGCCCCTAATTTCGGCCTTGTGCCACATTTAAGCTGCGCTTGGAAAATCACTATTTGCACCGAATTTTCAGTCTTTGTCAATATACATTATACAATGTCATTCATTTGAATCATATCACATTCCTTCAATTTATGAATCTTTCTGTCAGTTCAAACTTCAAGTTAATACTGGTAAATAATTCTACGAAAACACTTACATCATAATTTTCTGTAAAATATTTTGCGATTAATTCTTTTAATATGTCTTGCTTTTTGGAATCTTTCATCATGAGAAAATAAACCAAAATGGCGAACATTCATTTGTCGGCAACTGATACTTGATTAACAAACTCGTCTGTGTTAATCAAATATCAATACTGGTTGATTCCCATCTTTTGATATGGATGACGATGAAAATATTTTCAAAATTGAAGTATTTTTTTTCTTGGTCAACTTTTTTTTTTCCATTATATTATTTCCTCATTTTCACCCTCTTATTATACTGTTATTGTTCTTTTTTCTCAAAGGGACATTCGCGAAAATTAGCAATTATCTTCAATTCAACTTCACTTTGTTAATCAACTTTCATTTAAATTAACACAGTTAAGATTTTTTTTTCTCCCGACAAATAGCATTTTCTTTGATTTCGTTATTGCTAAAGCATCCAACAGCCAGTAACTGTTTTGTTCTACGTAAATAACACGCTGGAATGAAGGAATGGTGGATTTAATGAACTAAAACAACTGGAATAGAATGGGTTCTTATTCACTATTATTGCAACACTTTTTTCACAACACCGAATTCGTGCTAAAAAGTATCAATTTTAAAAGCTAATTATAAGATAATATGCTAACGCTAGTTGCAAGGAGAGTTTAGCGGAATTGATCTTTGCAATTAAAATCCCTTCTAACTTTGATTGGTGTGAGAAGTGAAAGAAGGTTAATTACACAAAGCAAACATCTAAAACCTAATTAATAATTACTTATCCCAATCTGCTAAATGTGATTTCAGATTTCCACATTTGATTTTGAATTAATAATGTTCACAGGAAATTTCATAAATTTGTTTTCTCATGAGGATTGCTTCGTGAAATTGTCAGAGTGACTAAATAGGTGGTTCGTTATGAGAATGAATGTGTTTTAGAGAGCCGCTCCTGGTTTAGAATAATGCCTTTGATCAAATCGGTACAATTCTGGAAAAAAAAAACACATCCAAAAAAAACTATTTCGACCAGCATATGAAATACTCAAATTAGATTTGAAGACAAAAACCCGCCTTTTTAGTTGGGCTTTTTTTTCAGATTTCGATTGAAGAATTATTTGAGTTGAATTTGCTGTGTGTCTACATTTCACAGTCAGATGATCAGAGAATTTTCTCATTCGCAAGCGGTCAATCATCCATCTTCTTAAATCACTAAATCAAGGCTTATAAATGACTTTAGGTTCAATCGGTTATCTTAATCTTTACTGATTGACTGGAAATCGAGTGAAATGACTTTGCATTTGTGTTCGAGAGAAAATTCAGGAATAATCATCGAAAAGGATTTTCGAAAAGATGCCTTGTCATCGATATTGTTATTGCTTTTATAAAAAATCATCTAAGACATGGCCCAAATCAGTTTAAATGAAGCGATTCAGGGATGCTTTTGATCCAGTCTAAACTGGAAAAAAAAAAAAATAAATAAATGGAGAATGAAAATGAGGGCGAAATGAGCAAGAACCGAGTGTCCAAAAGCAGCAACAGAGTGAAAACTTTCTTTTGGCTGTGTGGAAAGTTAATAGTTTGATTATACCATTATTTTCTCTCTTTGTTATATGGGCTGAGCGTTTTTATTTTTGTTCTTTTGTTGGTAGTTTTCAAATGATGGCGCATTTGTTAAATATTAAATATCTTTTCAGGTTATAAATGATGCTGTCGTCATTGATAACGAACGCTACGATTTTGCTCTACGATTTTCTTTTCAAATATTTATCGATATTTAAGCTCTCTCTGCTCTCATCAATTTTCTTGTTTTGTTATAGAACTTTCTCCAATTTACCTCGTCCAGGTTAAATAGAGATCCATATTTCCCGCTGCTAATACAGATGTTACTTTCAAAATGTTTCTAAATTTGAATTTATTTTCAGACATGTTCCTCTCTATTCTGAGATGCACTTATCTTCCATCTCATTCCACTTCCAGTATTACAAGGTTCTTTCTATTTTCTTTCCCTTGACCATCCGGATAAATTCATAGTTGGACAATATCACTTCTTTTTCTTCCATTTTGTGATGCCACTTCTGTACATTTCTTTATTCCGAACCCCAGTCCGATGACCTGAGTGAAGATCTTACAGTTTACGTAGCCAATTCTTTTTTTCTATTCGGTTAATATATACTTGTCATCCATATACGCATATTGTTTGTTATTTTTTAAATTTATATCTTCCGTTTCTCTTGTACAGTTACGCCAAACATTATTATTATTATTATTATTATTATTGTAATTTGCTTTCTGTTCCTTACAATCACTTACCGGGTCAGTAGTTATTTCTCTTGATAATGGAGAACATTTGGCATTATGGTGTTATAAAGTACCTGCAGAAATAGAGTTCAGCCCCCAAGGATATTCCTGCAGATATGTTTTCTACACTAGGGGATGACACCTCAGCTCATTTTAGGAAGAGAAGCGATATTCCTGAAGATGATCCATGTTCAGGACGTCTTGCGTCAGCAACCTCTGAGGAAACACTTGGTGATGGGTGACAGTCAATTGACTATAAATCACTCAGTCAATGCAATTATCATATCCTGTGAGAGAGTTTAGAATATTATATACAATTAACTTGACATGACGAAGGATTCTGCTCGGCGGGGAACACATATTCTGTCACTTGATCAAAAGCGGACCAACTTGATCACATCAGGAGAAAATCAGACATTGTTTGAGGCAGATCCAGCTGGTTTTCTTGAACGTTTCCTGACCCAGGATGAGTTTTGTGTTCATCACTTTAAGCCAGCGACGATCCATGCAAGGAAAATACCCACACCTCACTTACTCCAAAGGGCAAGGTCATTTCATTTGCAGGGAAGGTCGTGGTTTCGTTTTTTTTTTTTGTGGACGTAAAAGGCCTTGAAATATATTGTCAATTTTCAAAAGGATTACACCATCAATGTTGAGTACTATGCAAATTTTCTGAGGCATTTGCGAAAGTCTATCAAGACAAACCGGCTCGGAAAAATTGACGAAAGGGGACTTATTTCATCAGGACACTGCTCCACCAAACAAATCCTTGGTTCCACTGGCTAATATGTGTGACTTTATTTGAACTGGATGATCACCCTCCCTATTCTCATGCTTTGACTATAATCTGTTGTGCATCATGAAAAACACTTGCCTAGGTATAAGTATCACAGTGAGGATGACGTAATCTGCTGTTGATAAACTTTTGACCAACAGAGAAAACAGTGCTGTTTGAACAGTCATGTATCAGTTTAGCTGGAAATAAACAATTCAGTGATTAGTAAGATTTGAAATTAATGGATGCAAGTTTTCAAATCTCTAGCATAAATCCTTCAGAATCTATGAACCTTCCAACCCAACTTCTTATAGGCACACACATTCATTTTAAACAAATTCTGATATTAAGTGATACATAACATTTATAGTGTTGATATGTTACTTATCTTGATAATACACCCACGATTAAGAGAGCAGTTCCACGCAATAAAATATTCGTAATCACCTATAGACAGGGAATACCAAGGACAGTGCCAATGTTCTTTCTATATATCTTGATCGTATCCAGTGTTGTAATTATTTTAAATATACACACACACACACACACAAGTATTTTAAGATGCCATATTTTTCAATTAAAACTTCAAGATTCTTATATTTATTGACGTGAAATTCTTGAAAAAAAATATTTTTTATCAGATGTCTCAGTAACAGCTATGAAAATGCTTTTTAATTCATCATGTAATATTTAATCACTTTATCTATTATCTTTTATATGTATGTCGCTACTACTGTCAAACTGCCAAAAATAGTGAATCAATAACCTGTAACTGGCTTAATGTTCATAATATTATTATTATAAACTAGCAGTAGAGCCCGGAGTTGCCCGGGGATGTAACATTAAGAGATAGATCAAGTATCGACCATCATAAAGACGGAAAAATAAAATTGACAAAGATTATTGTTTAAGGTTGACGGACACGCATGTCTTAATTAGTTTTATTTTTTGTTTTTTTTGGGGATTTTTTACGGATTGGTCAAACTCAAACAAAAACATTGTTTTCAATCGTTATGAGTCTATCGATTTAATAGAATTTTATTATAAACAATTGTCTTGTAAATGGAATTTTTAAAGCATTCTGAATGTAAAAATAAAGAAAAAAGTGTGCAAGACAATAAGAAACACTACCTGCCAAAAAAAAGTGAAGTTTTGTTGAAATCGGTTGAAAAATGTAAGAAATCCGGTCCCATATATAAACAAACACACACACACACACACACAAAACCTTGGTTTTATAATAAGTATAACTCGATATGAGTTGTCCCCCTTTCATTAATGCCACTTAATCGTGTTTTCAAATTGATTTCGTGCAAAAACAATTGTTTTTTTCCAATTTTTGGCGCTGTCAGAACCACCGCAAGGTAATTTTACGTAGTCCTGTGAAGTGTTGTTGAAATCGGTTGAAAAATGTAGGAAATCCGATCCAATATATAAACGTACACACACACACACAATCTGCGTTTTATAATAAGTAAGATGTTTCTTTTTGACCAGATGTTTCATAATCACATGACGGGTCATGAGGAACGTCTATGGACAAGCGAATTTCTTTTCTTATTTCTATTTAATTAAACAAAAAAGAAACACCTATATAAAAAAAACACATAACTCACTTGGGGAAAGCTCTTCGCAGAATAGATGCTGTGATTATTAGAACCATTTTTTAGATTTCCTGAAGATTTTGTTATTTTATTCTTGACATTCGTTCTTTATCAGACGCAATGCTTCAACCACAAATTGAACAGTTTTAGCACCGACTTCGCATATTTGTTTTTTCTATTTGCATGTCCAGGTTGTCGTATTTGCTTAGTTTTTTTTCGAAAACCTAGGCAGCGATGTTTTTGACATTGGTAAGCCCATCACAATCTGCATGTTTTTTATTTTATTTATTTATTTATTTATTTATTTTTTTTTTTTTTTTTTTTGCTGTTTTTGATAATAATGTCTGCGACATTTGCTTTTATTCATACATCTGTGTTGATAGAGAAATCCCATCTGGTCAGGATAATTTTCATACAAGTTTGTTACTCTTTTTATCCCGTAGTGATAACAGATCTTCAATGCAGATAATGACCTAACCTGTCATGTCGTTTTATGTAAACATTGAGTGTGAGTATTGAGACTATGAGTTTCAAGGTGTTTACAGCTGAACCTAAATCTTAGGTTCGTGCTATTATATAAGATATTAGTGATTGCGTGTGAGCAGGCTCTGGCATTGTGTAAAAAAGTATTAGGCCAGCACTCTGGTGCAAATTTATCTATATAAGCATTTTGGCTTCAATTATGAACTGAATGTAGACGATTTTGGCTCCAGCTTTTGGAATATCATTATTAGTAGTATTAGTATTATTTTTTATTCCTTTGATTTCTGGTGTATACTCATTACATCCGGGTCCCGACCAGATACCTAATGTCAGAAATAACATCATGACATTTTCCAATAAGCAGTATTGAAAAATAATAATCACACATTTTACATAGATAAAGCTCTGCGTCAGGTGTGGGCTGTACTTGGGAGAACATTTTTTTTTTGTATTTCAATGAGTCACTTGGAATCTTTTTCAATCAATCCGAGGGCTTTAACTACAACTGAAATTGTTGATGAATTCATGTACAACTTTTTTGAGATATCGTTATCTAGGACCTTTTATTTTGTTAGGTTTTTGAAGATCTTCAAAGATACATTGCAGTCTGAGGGGACTGCCGTGTACAACAAGAAGGCACATTTTTTTCTTTGCGGTCTCTAATCACGATTAGCTTCCATTGTTCTGTCTGTGAGTATTGTAAAGTCTCATAAAATTGTTACAGGTCCCATCTTCGTAATATATCTGTGTGGTGTTCATACCGATTTCTTACAGTTTCCTTTCCGTATGTGTTGCAGATTTTCCAATGTAGATATTGGCCCACTCTGTGATGCCGAGTTTTATATTAAGTAGGCAACCTGATACAAGATGGCCAATTTTTTTCTGGATATTTATCACAGAATCTACTTTTTGAGCTAACACAGTTTTCAGTATGCACGCTTGGTAATTTCTAATTATTAAGCATTGTTCCTTTGCAGCGAGAATATAACCTTCAAATTCAGCTTTTAACCCTGAACTACGTAGGCATTGATGGATACGGGGTTTGTCTATATCAACTTGTTTGGTACGGGCAGAGTATTGACCGTGAAGTTGTTTATCTTGCTATCGTTTCATTTTTTTAATATTTGGCAGTTGCAGCCGGTGTATTATGATTTACTTTCATTTCTTCATCCATTTTAAACGTCATTTTGAACATGTTGGCTTCCTTTATTAATGAAGTATGCTTCTTAATTCCTTCATGTTGTTCTTTTTCTTCTAATTATTTGATGTTCTTTCCGATTCTACCGGAAGATATCTCAACTCCTACCTGCAACTTAGAGACGCAACACACATCAGTAATTTCAAGCGATGCATTCACGATGATGTCAGGTATCCTCTAGACAACCTATGAGGCAGAATATCTCCTGAAAATAGTCCGTACTGCGCCAGTTATTATTATTATTATTATTATTATTATTATTATTATTATTATTATTTTCTTTGATTTCTGGCGATTACACATTTCTTTCCGGGTCCCGCACAGAAGACGGCATCATGACATTTTCCATTGACAAAAAAAAAAAAAATTACATAGTTAAAGACCTTCGTAAAGTGTGGACTGTACCTGTCAGAACAATTTTTTTTATCTCCTTGAGGCATGGACTTCAAGGAATCCCTTCAATTAGTCTACTGCAATCTTTTACAACCAGTCCTAGGGCTCCAACTACAACAGGGATTGCTGATGTTCCCATGTGCCACATTTTCGAGATTTCTATTTCAATGTCCTTGTATTTTGACAGCTTTTTGAATATCTTCAACGATAGATTGCAGTCAGCAGGGACTGCCATATCAATAAGGAGGCACTTTTTTTTGTTTGTGGTTTTTCATAACAATATCAGGCCGATTGGCCTTGATTGTTCTGTCAGTGTATATTGTATAGTCCCATAGAATTGTAACAGGTACTATCTCCGTA